ACTGACCACCTCCCCTGGGCCCATCTTACTCTGGGCCTTCACCCGCCGACTGCCAACCATGCGCAGGTGTTTGCGGAAGTTCCTGAAGGAGAAAGCATAGGGTGATGAGGGTTCATAGTGGGGTGGATGTTGGCTCCTGCCCACCTAGTTCCTGAACATGCTGAGGCTGGACACAGAACAGTCTCCTAAAGGCTCATATACAAGGCCTGTCTTCTCCTGAGATCCCTCCAGAACTCCTGAACACAGGCATATTGTATCTCTCCTTCCAGTTTTGTTTCTTGCTGAGGCTTCTCACAGGCATTTCCTCTGTTGCAAAAACATCCTAACTCACTAGGGAGACAGGTTCTTTCTTCCCCCAAATTCTGTGCCCTGCCAAGATCCCATGTCTAGTTTTCCAGAAACACCTCTGAAGTTGGTGGGAGTTGGAGAAGGTGGGCTGTACCACTGGATGAGTAATTTTGGGCTTCAGGGCTAGACAGACACAAACGGGTTAGCTAGCTGCAGTATGACTATCAATATAGCATCAAAGTATAGGTCCAGGGGATGATATGTAGCCTGGCCACATGGCCTCCTGCCTGCCACGTCCCCAGAGCAGGGCCAGGCCAGTGGTCGCCACCACCCTTCCCCCATCAGGTCTTCCAGGGCCAGGAGGGCCCTGGCCAGGCCAGTGCAGACCAGAGACAGACCCTGGTGGCGAGTGGCTGGCAGGCCCTACCTCTGGATTACAGACGCGGAATCATTCTCCCGTTTCCGACGCTTCCTCTCCGCGTAGCCCCTGAATACCCTGAGAAACCGCCGCAAGTCAGCACTGCCCTTGGCTGAAGGCAGGAGGGACACAGACGTGGGGACAGAGGTGCAAGCACAGGGGGCCAGTAGGGCATCCCAGGCCCAGTTCCCAGCAGGCTCTGCTGAGGCTTAGTTGTCCACAGGAAGCTGGACTAATGGGAGCTCAGCACTACTCGCTGCCCAGGCCCAGCGTCCCTGACCTGCAGAATTCTATCCAAGGGTGGGAGGATCCCCCAGGACAATGGCTGTGCCCCTAAGTGCACACTGCATACTTACGAGATGCTGAAGTCACCATGCAAAGAGGCAGCAAGAGAAAGGAGACAAAATGAGTGTGGATCTCTGGCTTCCTTCACCCCACCCCACCCCCAGTTCCTTTGAAGGTGGTTTTCTCCCAACAGGATGTCTATTGGACTCAAGGCCAGCTGTCAAAGAGCACCAGAGGATGAGTCACTGGCCCATACCACCAGGTGCTGCGTTCTGGCCAGGCAAGTCTGGGGTTTGGTCCTACAGAAGCTTGTCTGTGCCCTGTCCACTTTGCCATAGCAATCAGGGGTGGAGTAGGACTACTCTGGCAAGGAACTTTGCTTCAAAGGCATGTCCTTAGCAGGAAAACATAGATGCCTGTCAGGTAAAGAGGAACAGACCTCCAAGAGACATATGAAGCAGAACGAGGATGACGTTCAAGGTACGCATAAAAACCAGAACCCACCCACTCCAAACCACTTAGTGATGGTGCTATCAGCTGCAACTCTGGGTCAGGTCCCCGGGGCAAAAATATAGATAATAGGCGACGAGTGGGTGCATGCAAGGAATGCACGTGAGGGCATGTGAGTACGGAAAAGAGCAGGAAGTAAGGGTAGAATATGGTCTGAGGGAGCAGGTACCCTCATGCTGGGGCTGAGCCTCAGCTTGGCCCATCAGCAGACCTGGCACTGGGGGACACATGCAACTGTTCAGAAGAAGCCCCTAGCTAAGCCAGTGGCTAGGCAGGAGCTGTCAGTACTTGAAACAGCCCAGCTCTGGACTTTTGCAGTGGACACTGGACTCACGCTTGCATAGTTGTGGTTGCCGTCTGGAAGCTGAAAAGGTTTTCCTTGGGGAACCAGGTACGGATGGGGACATCATCTGGAAGAGAGAAGAGGCTCGGCTGGCAAGGGCAGGAGTCCTGAAGCCTGATCCCTCTCCTCCCTATTGGGACAACACTTTGGGCCCATGGGCCCAGCAGCAGAATAAAAGCACCATAATGACTCTCAAGAAGAGAAAAGGCTGGCTCAGGGTGAGGCTTCAGAACATGACTGTACCCACTCTGACTTGCAGCTTAAAAAAAAAAAAAAGACTTATTAAAATTTTTTTTTTTTGAGAAGGAGGAGGGGAGAGAAGAGAGGCTAGCAGTGTAAGTCCTAGTGGAGCTCACACTTGGTTGTGAGCTGTCTGATGTGGGTGCTCAGGATCAAACTCTAGTCCTCTGTAAGAGCAATAGCACTGAGCATCTTCCCACTCCCTTGCCTGAGGAGGCTTTCTCTGTTTAATTTTCCCTTTAGCTGTTCAGAGTATGAGGAACAACGTTAGAGTCTGTCTTTGACCTATCACATTTTTGTTTCCCTTGGACATAAGATAGCCCTTCTCAGCTACCAGCTGGCCAGACATGTCCCTCCTTTTATTCCCACAAGAGGGTAGGTTAGAGGTCCTTAGAGAATACCTTATCCACTTCTCAGGGTCCTTTAGAGCTATCCCCTGAAGCCTAGGCATGAGGATGCTGGAATGTCTTAAGGGGGATGCTCTGTGGGTAGAATAGTTACTAAATACATCTCAGGTATCCCAACCCCTCATATTGACATCAATAATCTCGGGGCCCAAACAACTTTCCCTCCCTTGTAGTTTCTGAAGACAGCCTGATCTTCCATGAAGCCATGTTTTCTATATCTTCAAGATCCTCCCAGGCCCCACCTTCAGGAAGTATCCTTGAAAAATGTATGCTAGACTTGCTTGCTATCTGAGGGAGGCCACGATTCAAAGGATTTGGGGGATGGAGTGAATGCAAACTGAAGGGAATTCATCCTGACTGTCATCACATTATGATACTCAGTTTTACAGTATTTGCTGCTGCTAACGGGGAGTAGGCTACCCCAAAACCTTCCCAGGCCCAGAGATAAGCTCACCAGACACTCGATCAACACTATACATCCTCTCCAGCTTCTTGTGGCGTCCAGAAGCCTCAGGCAGAGGTGGCTGTTCCAGCCCAAAGGCCCTAGGAGAGGGACCAGGGACCAGCTGGGCACATCCTGGGCATTCTTTGGAGCCCTGGCGGCTGCCTGCCCAGCTTTGGCAGGACCTGCTGATGTCCTCACGGCTGCTGCCTGGGCTGGCACGCAGGGGCTGGCTATGGTGGTGAGGGTGCCGTTCCCGCTGCCTCCTCCCCTTTACCACTGCTAGTTCAATGGCTTCAGCTTCAGAGCTGGGCAGCAGGGCTGGCTCTCTAGAGATGGTGTACACATGGGGCTGGGGCCCCTCTGGAGCTGGCTTCCCGCTGACTGCCTCATCTGAGATGCTGCCCTCATAGCGGCCATTGGAGACGAGGGAGAGGCGGCGTTTGTTTTGGGGGGCAGGCTGCATCTCTGGGGACCCGTCGTGGCCAGAGTAGGCATCAGCCAGCAGGTGGTCTAAGGAAAAAGCAAACCTTCAGCATGCTGGTCTACCCTCCCAGTCTTCTGGCACATGAAGGACAACATACACCAGCAAGCACCAAACTTGTTGAGGGCCTCTTGTTGCTAAAAAAAGGTTCTGCCAGGTGTCTTGTTTCTCTTCTCATCTGGGCCTGAAGCCCTTGTGAGAGTGTGGACTGGGGTGACAGGCAGACCTGTACCTGTGCATAATCATCAGAGGTAAGAATAGGCAGGCTGATATCCCCCACAAGCCTGCAGATACACCCATTTGCCTGGTGCCAACTTCTCCCCTCCCCCCAACCAGCTGGCCCCCAGACAGTGGTGCCAGCCCTGGGGGTGCCAAGAGGCCTGTTGCCATGCCAACAACCCAGGCTGGGAGGGCGCCATGGAGATGGGTGATTGGAGCTCCTCCTAGGGTTCTGGGCCCTAGAGGGCAGGGAATGCGAGGAAGACAAGCCAGCAAGGTACCTAGGCTGGCTCACACTCCACCGGCCTTGGGCTGGGGCAGTGGCCTCACCCTGCACAGCCCTTTCGTCTCTTGTGTCCCTACCTGCACCGTTGTGGTTCTCAGGGTGACTCTGGGACAGGTACTCTCCAAACGCTCGGGCTGCTCTGGAGGGTAAGCAGAGGGAACATGGTCAGTAACATGCTGGCTTCGACACTGGGAAGACCTTCCCTATCAGACCTACTCCTATTCCAGTCCCTCCACATCAACGTGAAAAGAGGTGGGCTCTCTCCACCCACCAGGGAGAGCCAGGACATGCCAGAACAGCTTTCTGTTCAATCTGCCCAGCCTGTGGGCGTCAGCTTTTAAGGCCTGAGGCTCACTCCAGTCAGAACAGGAAAGCCGAAGGGCGCTGGGACAGCAGCACACACTACAGAAGCAAGCCCACCGCACTCACCTTACTTTGGCCGCTACCGAGGACATGGCCTCGCTCCTCAGCGCCCTCCTCCTGGAGGCGGCGGCACCCATGGTCACGGCGCCCGCGCATCCCCTGGGCTTCAGAGCGCGCCCCGCGCCCGCCGCCTCTGCCGGGGGAGCCGTACGGCGCCTGAGGTTGCGCTAGGTCTCGGCTTCAGGGTCAGGGTCACACTCAGGTCCGGGCCCGGCATGGCCGCACCCAGCACCCTGCGCGTCCAGCCTCTGTAGGAGTACGCGGCTGGACCCGGGGGCGGTGCTCCGCCTCCTGACGCTAAGCCTGGGCTAGTACCACCCCCATGTGACGGATATGGGTGTGTCTAAAAAGTGGCTCCTCCCGGAGGCTTTCTTCCTGGGGGGCGACCCTCCCAGAACTAATATGAAGCCCTGCAATTTAGCTCAGGGCCCAAGTATCCCCAGAGGAGAGGAACGCCTAAGAAACCCGCGAACTCCCCTTGGTTTGGGGGGAAACCCTAGCTCCCTCCAGACCGGAGCATCCTGACTGCAAAGTTGCTGCCTGAAGGTTGCAGGCACCTGCAAAAGGGTCCCGAGAAAACATCTGACCATCCCACTGACCTTCTAGATCTCAAGTCCACCTAGCTGTTTGCCATTGCAGCCTTTTCAGCCGAGTGAAATATCCACACAATCGGATTGGCTTTTATTAAGATGCCCATCCCATGCCTCACAGAGGCTTCAGGGCCACTCTTCAGTATCGTTGTGGGGATACAAGGGGTACCAGTGAAGAGAAGAGGCCCATGACTTCTCTAACACAGCCCAGGTCACTGGAAGAAACCAGACAGACACACCACCCTGCTTGATCTTGTCAGGCAACTGATGTAGCCTCCAAGGAGTGGATGTAGCCTCAGTCTATAGGTGAGGCCCAGGGGAGGACTGTGCTGTATTGTGAAAGCCCGGGCAAGGAGAGCATTAGCGTTTTGGCTCTTGGTCATCTTGTTCAGGTTGCCAAGGGCAGGAGTCCTGGGACTGTTCTGAGGAAGTCAAGCAGAGGGGCCCTTGCCACAGTGAAGGCTCATCCTCCTGGAAGCAAAGCATGCACGGTCAAGGTATGTGAAGTGGGGGTTGCCAGAACCCAGGCTGCATCACCTGGAGTGGGAGGGACTATCTATAGCCCAGAATCTGAGACCAGGAGCAGGCCCAGGTTGGGGACCTCAGAGTGGTCACAAGCGAGGGACACAGGTAGGGCGTGGTCCAGCACCTCACCGAGTCAGAGTCCAACTCAGTCCCAGCACTCTGGAAGTCGGCATATGTTTCCTTGGGGATGTCTGGAAGCTCCTCCTCATACTCTGTCTGATAGTCAGATTCATCTGGGGTAGAAGAAAGAGCTCTAATGTTCCTTTTCCAAAGGGCAGTGGTTGTGCCCAGCACAGCTAAAACTGAGGCAGAACATGGCCAGAGAGCCTCCACCCTTACCACCATGTAACACAGTCCCCAGGGCTGCCAGAGGAAGCTGCAGCAGACCCAGCAATACATCACATTTGGCTTTGTCCACCTCACTCCACAATGTGTTCTGTATGTTTTTCACAAAAACATGGAGTAAGTTGGCTCTCCTTACCTGCTCCCTAACCATGCACAGGGAGTTTTGGCCAGGGTTGTATAAGGTGATGCCAGCACAAACTCAGCTCAGTATCTGGGGCTCTCACCTTGGGAAGGCCCCAGCGCACTTTCAAGTTCCTCTTTAAAATGAAACACGCAGCAAGCAATGCTGCAAAACATGCTGTTTTGTTGCAAGATGTGGGTGAGGATGGTAGATGATGGCTCCACTGCAGGGCTGTAGGTCAGAGCAGTGGTTGGACCTGACTCTCAAGCTCGGCCAGTGGGTTCCCTGAAGGTCTGTGATGTGGTTAGTATTGTATGGAGTGATGAGGGAGATGCCCATCTTGACACAATGGAGACCACTTGCCACCAGAGTGGCAAGGGCCCCTCTGCTTGACTTCCTCAGAACAGTCCCAGGACTCCTGCCCTTGGCAACCTGAACAAGATGACCAAGAGCCAAAACGCTAATGCTCTCCTTGCCCGGGCTTTCACAATACAGCACAGTCCTCCCCTGGGCCTCACCTATAGACTGAGGCTACATCCACTCCTTGGTGGTCAGCCTCTTGGTCAGCAGAGCTCAGTTGGTACTTCTTCAAAGGCAAGAGCTGGGGTCTAGAATAGTGGTGTCTGGCTACCTCTTACCTGATCCACCTTTGTTATGCAGGCCCACTTTCTGGATAGCTAACTCACCATCCACTACAGCCACCTTGGCCGGCTCAATTCTTGACACGATCTCAGCAAGGTCCGTGAAGGAGGCATTGGGGCAGGTGAACAACTGCAGTTAGAGGAAGCAGCAGAGCATATCACCCATCTCAGGCTGCACACAGGCAGAACGGGTACAGAGAATGCTGCCAGTGCTTTGGACCCCTATCCTGGCAGACCCTCCCATCCGCCATCTCACCCCACAGTCCTTCCTCTTGCTTGTCCCCTGCTGGTCCTGCAGCATCTTCTCCAGTACACCACTCCGAACCCAGATGTCAAACACTGTCCGCCCATGCTGATATCCAACTTCCTGTGTACATAGGAGGCCCCATCAGGAACTTGAGGGAGCCCCTTGTCATGCTCTAGAAAAGAGGCTGAACTGATCCATCAGTCCCTCTTCCTTTGTAGCCAGTTGATGACACTCACACAGATCTCATCAAACTTGCCGAAGTCCAGGGTGCGGTAGCTATCAATGGGAGGCCTCAGATACTCGCAGTAGTCACTGTTCTTCACCATCTCTAGTTGCCGCACGCAGCACACATAGGCCAGTCGTGTCTGAATCTCTGCCATGTTGAGCACCTGCCAAGAATGCTTGAGCCTCCTACCCTGACCCTCCTTCCTCATCCCTCCTGGTCCAGGAAGATGATGAGCCCTGAAGATGTGACCTATTGAGCTATGCAACCGTGCTTCTGCCCCTCTTGTCCCTGGGTTAGTCCTAGGGTCTGGAAAACAGTATAAGAAAGTGACCCAGATCTGTTGAACTCTGAACATGGGAGGTGCTTCCACATCCCTATGGCCAGGCATGGCTCATAGAGGATAAGAGCCCCAGAGAGGCTATCATTGGTAACCTATCCTACCTTGACTTTTGTAGCCAAGGGGTTCCAGCGTTTCCAAAGCAGCCACCATCCAGACAAGGCATCACCATAGTTGGTGAGGTCCGTCTCATCCCGGCTGCCAACATCAATGGCAATCACAACCTTTGCACCCATGGATCTTGCCACATCAGCTATGGAGAAAAAGGTAGAAAAAGTTATACCCAGGTCAAGAATGCAGAACCAGGGTATGGGGTAGCACTCCAGAAGGAATGGGAAAAACAGATGGGAGGAAGACCCTGCTTTACAAAGCCCTATGAGGGCCTTGTTTCTCTTGCTGGCTCCACCAGGGAGTCCTCTCTAGACTTCTTCCTGGGCCTATGGGGACAGTAGATCAAATGTGTCAGCCTGTGTGTAGCCGTGTGCATAGAACTATGTTTGAGCCCTCCTGAGCACGTAGCCAACAGGTAGCAGGTGTGGCCTCACTCATAGCACACTCAACACCTGCAGACTGTTAGTTTCCAACTGTGGGCACAGATGGAAATCAATTGCTCCTCGTTTGTCTCCTTGGCCTTTGTTTGGTTGCTGCTGTGCTAACAGGGAGAGCCATATGCTAGGAGCATGCTGTGCGCATGTGCATGAATGGGCACATGCGCATGTGTTCTCTATGAGTTGATGCCAGCCTGACATTTTCTCTTGGCATACTCTAAGGAAAACGTGTATCACCCCAGCCTTCCTGATGTGGAGGCGGTTGTGGCAGGCAGCCACAGGGCAGAATGACCAAAGAGCTATGCACCAGCAAAGGGGGCACTCTGGCATCCTCTGCAGTACCTGGGAGGTTGTTGATGTAACCCCCATCCATCAGCAGGTGTCCATCCTTAGGGTCACAGAGTGGGGGCATGTAGCCTGACAAGGACATGCTTGCACGGACATACCTCCACAAAGAGCCTAGAGCACCAAAAAGATCTGGTAGGAAAAGGAGCCAGGAAGGAACCTTTCTCTGCCCTCTGTGGTGCTGGTCCTACACTGGAGAATCAGAGTCTCATCTTTGTCACTTTAAAAGCCCACAGGTCCTCCCTCCAGGGAGAACACCAACCTTGACAGACCACTCCCAGATTTCTCATCCCCCAAGGGCTTTGCCTCGAGAACTGATGACACTGAAGTATTCTTCTATGGTCCCCAGATATCCCACTTTGCCCAAGTGAAACCTCTGTGCCTGAGTACATCCTCCGCCTGCTCCTTTCTCAGAGGCCCCTTTGTCCACCTGGTATCTTCACTCCTGATTGCCCCACTTCACCTAGTGCACCTGTGGCAGAGACATCCTCTGCCTACCTTGTACAAATGTGCCTGTGACTGCTTCCTTTGTAAGACCATCAGTGCCCTTAACAATCTCATAGAGCTACCTGTACCCATACCTTCCTAAGATCCTAGAGCTGCTGACCCGACTGAGCTGACCCTATGGTGCTTTTGGTTGGAGAAGGCTCTCACCATCTGTGTGAACTCGCATGGCAGAGGCTGTGATGTCGGTGGTGATGGCAAAGTAGGGGAGCCACAGGTCCTGCGGAAAGGACAGGGATCAGGAGAAACTGCCTCTTCAACTGTTCCTTGTCCATCTAGGGACAAATGAGCATGGAGAAAGCAAGACACTGTCAAGGCCACCTAGCAGCCAATGCAAACCAGATGTGGTAAGGACACACCTCAATCTGCCGGTCTCTGAAGATGCTGCTGATGCTGCTATTGAAGCCACTGCCAGAGAACACTGATGTGATTGGGTAAGTCAGGTCCAGTATAGTCTTCATCATTGATGTCATATCCTAGAGACAGGAGAGACTGAGGAAATCACCCTCTGGCCTGTGGGACCCTTGCTAAAGCAGGATACAGGTGACTGCTTTCTGCCTCAGAATACAGGCAGCCAAGAGAATCTACAGGTCCAACTGCCTGAAGTTTCAGGAAAGCAATCCTTGTGGGACTGAGCCTTAGTATAGGCAAAAAGGCCAGCAGAGGCTCCTGGGCTCCATGCCTTCTCTCCTATCCTCAGCCAGCCAGACCTTGAGACCTCTTGGGGACTCCAGCAGACCCTTGTACTTTAAATTTTCCAATAAAGTTGAGGGAGCACTAGGTTGGATAAAGCCACCAGCTCTGGGAAAGTCAACAGCAAGAAGAGACCAGAAGCTCTGTGAAGCTTTGAAGCTCTGTGAAGACCTTTCCATAAGACAGCTTGAGATTCTGCTCAGGGCCCAAGCTATGGAAGCTGCTGGACAAACTGCCCCACAGTCATCCATAGCTTCAGCAGGGCTGGTTGGTACATAAGTCCACAGCCCCATCTCCGTTGTGTCCAGCAGCAGCCTCCCTCTCAGGCAGGGTACCACAGCATAGTTCACCCTTAGCATGGTGGAAGACCAGCCCAAAGTGCCCTGACTCTTCCCATTGCTGACCCTCAGCACTAGAGGAGCAGAAGGACGGAAGGGAAAACATCCCCACAGGTCCTGGGCTGGCCTTTGCAGCCTATGACTACATATAAGCTGTTCCATACCAACTGAACACATTTTCCTGTGGTCACTGATCTTACAGGCCACTCCTGGTGACTGCTGACATATCACTAAGGACAGGATGTGTCACCAGGCTCTCTTTTTTGATGGCCACTCATTCCATGGTAAAAAATCTTTCTGGATAGAGAGCCTCAGGCTGTCCTGAGCTTTGTGACTGCAGCAGGTAGCCCACTCCTCAGCTTCTGCGCAAAAGATGAGCAATTTTCTTTTCTTTGAAAAAGGAGAGCACAAAAATCTTTTGATCCCACGCTTGATTTCAGCAGGGTTCCACAGGAGCTACATAGCCTTGAGAAGGCTATGAGCTGCCTGCTGGCAATACGGAGCTAGAAAAACTGTCCTGTTTCCTTTGATTCTGTTTGATGTTTTGGTTCTGGTGTCCATTTATGACAAGGCTGGACTAATAGCAGGCAAGTCACATCTCCTATGCAGCCAAGAGCCACACTCAGCCCTTCCCTGGTTTGACTCACGCCAAGGCAATACTCCCAGTCTTTTAAATCATCTAGGGCCAGGGGCGAGGCAAGCCTGCTGGAATGATCCATACTAACCAGTCTACATACTCTGCCTTGCCTTTGCCTCAGAAGCCTAAGGCATGGTTGAGGAAGGGGAGGATATTGGAGGACTTGGGGGAGGAGTTAAATGTGATCAAAATATATTGTACAATATTCTCAAAGAACTAATAAAAAGGTAAAAAGGACAAAGTTGAGAATTGGACATGTTGGGAGACTATAGGGGGGGTTAGAGAGGACAACTGGGAGGTAGATATGATCATATCTTATTATGATCATTATCTTATTATGATCATATCTAAATATAAATACATATCTAAATACACATACAAAGTTCTCAAGAATAAAAATAATTTTTAAAAAAGAAATCTGAGACTTCATTCCTGATTTAGTTCTTTGTTGCCTCTCTGCCCATTGTAGGTCCAGATACAGCTATGTCTCACTTCCAGCAACTATAGGAACCACTAGCTCCCCCTTCAGTGACATTGGCCCTCCATATTTTCACCTGGTAAACTTCTATCAGTTAAGAATACAGCACAAATCTGATCACTTCCCATTACCTACTTTAGGGCCACATCCACTCACCTACCTCAGGTCACCTCCTGCCACCAATTTCTGACCATCTCCCATCATTTGCTCAGTCTTTTAATGCTTTATGTTCTCCCTTTGCCACACAGGCCATGTTCTCACCTACATGCCTCGTCTCCTTGAAAAATAGAGCATTCCTGACAGTGAAGGGTACCTGCTTACCTCTGCCCACTGCTTGGCTCGGATCCGCATCTGGCTGTAGCTCCGCTCCTCAGCAAACAGGGCACCCATGAAAGCCCCAATGGATGTCCCTCCGATCATGTCCACGGGGATGCCACACTCTGCTAGGGCCCTGAGGACACCTACCTGGGCACAGCCTCTTCACCGGTAAGAAGAGAGAAAGAAAATAAGCACCACAGTCAGGCCAGCCCTTGAACTATACACTCTATGGAGGTCGCAGAGGCAGCTACCCATGATCTGACCATTCTTCCCTCCTCAGAATCTGAAGTTTGCATAACCACAGACAATGGATCAAAGAGAGGAAAGGCCCAGAGAGAAGTCTGGATATAATTTAAGTTTCCTTTCTCTAGAGGTACACAGGTGACTATAGGGCTAGGATGGGAAGGAAGGTTTTCCTAAGGAGGATCAGTGAGTGGGTGGCGTCTTCTATGCACTGCTGATTCCAACAGAGCACCAGAGTCAGAGAAGTTCAACAGGCTTTTACCATACTTGTGGTGAGGAAAAGTGGAAATGAGAGCTTCCTGAAAAAGGGGAGTCCTGGTAAGTACCCTGAGAGTTGCCCTAGGAACCACAGTAAAGTAGAAATGAGCCAGCCCCTTAGACCTTTATTCACCATTTCCTCAAAGCAGGCTAAAGCCTCAAAATGAAACATAACAAGAGAGAGACAGAGAGATAGACATGAGAAGAAAAGACCTCATGACTACAGAGTACTTGCCTACTATATGCACATATGGTTTGATCCCCAGTATCATACACGTTAAAAAGGGTATAAGCAGTCTGTGTCTAGCATGGGTGAGCAAAGTACTGTGCATTTGCCAGTATTAAATATATATGCCGAGTGAAAGACGCAGACACAGGACAAATGGATGACTCCAGGCCCATGAGGTCTGTACAGCAGGCAAGTTCATGAATACAGAACGGGGTTGCAGAGAATGGGGAGAACATTAATTAGTTTATTTAGGATGATGAAATAGTCCAGAAATAGACAGGCCTGACAGTTAGTTGCATGACAATGTGAGCACATTTCACTGCACTAAAATGGTTGAAATATGTGTGCATGTTTAGCACATAAAAAAAGGACAATATACAATACCAACAGAAAAGAACTAAATAAGTGGATCTTAGAACAAAAGCTGAGTCAGGCATAGCAGTGAACATCTTTAATCCCAGAACTTGGGAGGCAGAGGCAGAGGCAGGCAGGTCTCAAGGAGCTCAAGGCCAGCTAGGTTTATTTATATTGTATGTGCATGGGCGTTTTGCCTGCGTGCATGTCTTTGCAGAATGTAAATGCAGTGCCTGCAGGGTCCAGATCCCTTGGAACTGGAGTTACAGACAGTTGTGAGCTGCCATATGGGTGCTGGGAATTGAACCAAGATCTTCTGAAAGAGTAGCCAGTGCTTTCAACCACCACACCATTTCTTCAGCCCCAACCCTGGTTTACATAGTGAGTTCCAGGACACAGAGAGACCCTGTTCCCTACAAACAAAACCAAAACCAAACAAACAAAACAAAAAACTATTGTTGAGAGTTGGGCATAGCAGCATATGCCTTTAATCCTAGTAGTTGGGAGGCAGAAGCAGGTGGCTCTCTGTGAGCTGAAAGCCAGCCTAGTCTACATGTAGAATTCCAGGCCAGCTAGGGCCTGGAACAAAAAAACAAGAGTAGAAGAAATTAAAGACAGGATTGATAACTGACAAAGAATGGGAAACTAAGCAGGATCAAGTGGGGAGGTTATAGACATGGAACACATAACTGGGATGAAGAAACCAACACATGCATTTAACGGCAGATTAGAGACAGCTTAAGAGAGATAAGGTCTGACTATTGTGCCAGCATAATGCAGATACCGCTGTCATGAAATCAGAGTAGCAGTGACAGTCTACATGACACTCTCACACAGCAGGACCTCCTGCACCTTTCTCATTTTTTTCTTGACTGTCCTTTCAAAGCCCACCCTTTTGCTTTTTTGATCCTTGTAATGGATGCTTATATTGTAAGTTTGTAATTTCTGTTCTTGCCTATTTTTGGAAAAGTTATAGCCTGTACTGGCCTCAAATTCACCCTCACCCTCCTCCTCCATGTCATAGGCACACTGTTCCAGAACATAGATAGATTTGTCTTTCTACTGTGTCAGAATTTACTAAATAAAAAACTCATAAGCTGCCTTGGTTTCAACGGCTGCAATTTATCAAGTAATCCTGATTTCCCTTGATAGCTGGCTGTCTCATGCTCTTTTTAGTCTAGACTTAATTATTAATTAACTCTCAAATCACACATTGAATTTGTGTGTGTTACAGAATAGCTACAAAAGGACTGAAGAGGCCTTATTAGAAGTAGAGTCAATATATATACAAAAAAAAAAATCAGATGGTTAGTAGCAAGATATTAACTACATAGTTACAGAGTTTCTAGGGACTTGTAGAGCAGCAGGGTTGAGGGGAGTACAGCCTAGCCTACTTGGCAAACTCCATGCTAGTAAAAGACCCTGTCTCAAAAAGCAAGGTAGATGGTATCTAATACTTGAAGAATGACACCTGAGGTTGTCCTCTGGGACCCCTGCCATATACACATGTACACGAGCACATGCTCATACACACACACAAACACACACACACACACACACACAGAAAGAGAGAGAGAGAGAGCAACACAGACACAGAGAGAGACAGAGAGATAGAGATACACAGAGGTACAAAGAGAATGACACAAGTTAACACCTTCACTCAAAGATGCCACTGAAAGAGAAGCAGAGGCTGAGGGACAACACTAGCATAAATGCACCAAAAAAGCATCTCAGTAACAATAAATAACTTTCTCAACTCAATAATAAGAAACAATCTACTGGGCTGGAAACATGGCTCAGTGATTAAGAGCACTTTCTGCTCTTCCAGAGGTCCTGAGTTCAATTCCCAGCAACCACATGGTGGCTCACAACCATCTATACTGGGACTTGATGCTCTCTTCTGGCCTGCAGGTATACATACAGATAAAGCACGCATATACATACAAATAAATAAATAAATAATACACAAAGTTAGAGTGAACTTTCTGTTTGTGATTAAAAAAAAGAAACAATCTACTCAAAATGGGTAGGGAGATCAAAACTTCACAACAACAACGAAGAGGCACAAATAGATGAAAACTACATATGATTCTGATATCATTAGTCTTCAGAGAAATACAAACTTGAATCAAAAGAAGGACTATTACATATTAGAATAGCTGTAATTTAAATTCTGACAACACCAAGGGTAAACAAGAGAAGGAAAACTGAATTCTCACACATGGCTGGTGGGGATGTAAACAGTATCATTACCCCATGATCAGGGAATCCCACTCCTATGTATTTGTTCACGAGGAAAGAAAACATACATCAACAACAAAAAAGATAATTTTGTTCTTTATAACAAAACCAGAAAACAAGCCAAAAATCTTATCAGAAGGGAGTCTGTAATATGGTGATGATGGAATTTCCTTATGGATCCCATCTAGAATACAAATCTCAATTGTCATGTTGAGTGGACAAACCTAGACACATGAGTATATGTGAGAAACTTTAAGCAAGCAAACAAATAAAGCAATAAATAAAAGATGTGTCATTGATAGCCTCAATGAAATACTGCATTAGTGAAACAGAGAGAATGCTATGGGAGGGAAAAGGCTATCCATAAGTTGGGACATGACGGTATAGCACTTGTGAGGCTGAGGCAGGATAATCTCAAGTTCCCAGACAGATTAGGTTACATAGGGAGAACCTGACTAAAACAAAATAAACAAAAATAAAACTGCAAGTGTTAAAATATTTGAGTACAAAAAAAGCTGAAAGATACAATTTAAAAAATCTCTAAGAAAACAGAGATAAAAAGATATAAAAATCAGAGGCTTCTTTTAGGCTACCACTATTGAGCTTAGGAAGAGAAAACAAAGAAAAGCAAAACTTATTTTTAAAAAGGAAACACTTTGGGAAAGGAGAGATGGCTCAGTAGCTAAGAGCACATAAGCTCCTGCAGAGAATCTGGATTTAATTCCCAGCACCTACATGTCAACTCACAACTGTCTATAACTCCAGTTCCAGGGGATTGGACAACCTCTTCAGGACTCTGCAGGCACCACACATGCATGTGGTTCACAGACATACATGCATATAAAATACCCGTGTACATAAAATGAAATAATTAAAAGTGTAACATTTCCTAGAGTTTCAACTTCATAAATTTCCAAATGTGAAAGGGCCCAAGAAGACTTCAGAGTCCTAGGTAAGGACAACATCACCACTAAGACACCACCACATCCTTTCAAAATACCAAGAACCCCCAGAAGGCTCCAGAAAGAAAAACAAGACCAGCGAATAAAAACAGCATTGATAATCTCAGCAATATCAAAGCTGCACACACAATACAATTATACCACAAAATTTCTCAGAGATTATTTTCCTCTTGGAATCTATGCTTAGCCAAACTATCACTCAAGTATGAGAGCAGAGTGTGAATGTCTTCTGGATAGGTCTGGTGTTAACACTTTTACCTCCCACACAGCCTCTCTTCAGGAGATTTCCACAAAGAGAGACATGAGATGGAGAAAATGGAGCTGAACAAAGGAATAAAGCAAAGGTAGTTTTTAGGATGATCATATAGAAAATTCCAGGGTAGCTTTCCAACAGTTGGCTGGAAAGAAATCAGTGAGGATGAGGGGGCTGGTGGGCTGGAGACCTGGTCTAAGAGGATATGAACGCTCTGGCAGTGTTTGCTTGTACACTGATGATATCAGAAATAGAGCTGAAGCAAACACAACAGTCAGAAACTCCTAAGAAGGAAATGGTGTCAGAGTCCCAAGGATATGATTTATCTCTGAAGGAGCTACATCCTCACAGTGCTACACACTGTCAGTGAACTCTCATGAAGCTGATGAGAGTAAGACACAGAGGCAGAGCCACAGACAAATGAGTGTACATAGAGAACAACAGATGCAATTATTGGAGGATAATCTAAAACTTAAGGAAAACAGAGAATTAGTCAAATAGGAATATTACTTAGAATCACAGAAAAGTCAATGTCCAAAGAGAGTTCAGAGTAGTTATTTCTGGGAAGTCTGTAGATCGGCTCTGGGAGGGCAGGCAGAGGACTGTTTGTTGTGTGCTTTGCAGGATCCTCATGGCTTTTAAGTATACCTTGAGCAAAGTGGCAGATTCATCAAAACCACTGATGGCCTGACCTGAAAGCAAGGACCAGGTCTTGACCTAACTGTTCTAAGCTTTGATTATCCAGACCCACAGGAAGGACCAGGGCCTCTTCCTACCTGTAACAATGCAAGCTGTCACACCCCTCTTCTAGGCCAGTTCCCCCAGGTTCTCAAGATGCAATGAGCACAGTGGTGTCATTCACCAAAATGAGCAGAGGCAGGATGCAGCTCACAGAGGCCCAGCTCCAAAGCATTCCTGGGAGAGGTGGAGCCAGACACTGCTCTCTCATGATGCCCTAGGCCTCCACTTCTTTCAGCTCAGACCAGTCAGATGACACCAGTCAGAATTACATGGGCTCAAAGTCTTTAAAGAACTTAGAGCCCAAAGAACTAAAGAATATTTCTCTAGTTCATGATCAGATTCCATTCCACCACAGAGAGTATATTAAAATGGAAAGAACCTCATGGGGAGCCCACTGGGAACTATTAAAGAACAAGAACAGACAATGTTCAAAGAGGACACATGGCTAACCAAACAAATGCTTCCAAGCATAGGCAGTCAGACAATACAAACACTTTCTTCTACCAAACCGGCAACAGTGAAATCCAAAACATTTGGGCTATAAACAAGTAAGTACCCAGATAATTTTTCATGCAGACCACACCCTTGTCATCTATGGGGACTCTTTCCTAAGGACACTAGGTCCAAGGGTCCTTTCATCTATAGCACCATGCTATCATCTTCCCCATGCTTTAAAGCCTGTGGGAATTAACTGTCACCCCGACACATGTAGCACACAGTTGGATGGGGGCTCACCTTGCTCCACCACCTCCAAACACCAAGGCAATGGCATTGCCTGTCAGCACCCGTGCCAAGCGGGAAAAATCTGAATGACGGTCTGGTGGTCTTTGGAAAACACGCGTGTACATCTCAATCTGAGAGGAGCCAAAATAAGAAAAGAGGTTTGTGCATTTTTCTTCAGCTACAACTGTAAATCCTGATTTGACTCAAATCCTATCCTTTCCAGGACACAGGCTCATTAACACCAAAGTGCCTGAAAGGGTTAAGGCTCATGGTGGGAGGGGGAGTGCTGGCAAAGGACAAACAGACCTAAAGGGAGCTTCTACACTGCCTACCACAGAGCTCCTCAGGATGTCCTCACGGGAGTCTCTCCACTGGCCCTTACGTAGACAGTGCTCTCAGGGCATATGGTGCAAAGCAGAGATGCAGGGAACAGGGTGCTGTCCATTGGGCTGTGGGGGTTGAAGGGCTACAGCATGTGGGCAGCCCCAGTACTCTCTCCACCTAGTTTTCACACTGGGCCCAAAGAACTAAAGATGACCTAAGGAAGAGGTGTCTCAAGATGGTATCTGTTTCTGTGCTGAAGGGACAGCATAGGAACCTGACCATTAGATCTCTTTGGGACTCTCAGCTTTGGTCCCTGAACCTAAGTCAAGCCCAGATTTCTGGGTTGACTGGTTCCCAGGTCTTGATGGTCTCTCTGTGCTTATGCCTCCACCATGCCCAAGAATCTCAATTTTAAGGTCATAGCCACAGTTCAGAAGCAGAATAGACAAACTCAACCAGAACCCACAAGCCCTGATGCTGCATAAAGAGGAAGACAGTTCTAAGTCCATAGTAGGAGGCCAGAGACGATGTAGTCAGGCCAAGTCCCACTGGTCCAGCCCACCCAGGCTCACCAGCTTGGGCAAGCTCCTCTTAGAGAAGACACGGCGTGGGCAGCAGAGATGCAAGTGGCCAGAGCACCAGCTTCGCATGTTGAGCCACTCTACTGTTCGGGCAGGCACTGGACCCTCCTCTTTGTGCAGCAAGATTAGTTGCTTCTGGGCACGCACAGCTGTGCTTTCCAGCATCTGCTCCAGCTGAAGGATAGTACAGCCTGGTCAGCAATCCCTGCAAGCCTGAGGACTGAGCATAGTACAGAACCAAGGACCACCACAGAGCTGTCTTCAAGATCTACACTCAATACTGCCCAGATGGCTGGCCCCAGACAAATCAATGTATGATAGGTCTAGTTAGTACAAAGGCTATAAAGATAGCCCATCTTGGGGTTGATAACCCCAAGTGACCACATGGTCCACTGAACTATGTGTGCTGGGGCGGGGAGGCAGCATGGCTGCAAGGGTACTCAGGGTATGACACAGGAGTGCGTCCTGCTATGTCTCAAAACACTGCCTTGTGACTGTGTGCTGCGACCTTTACAAATGATGCACCTTTTGGACAACTGCCCTTACAGAATAGCACTGCTCCTGCATAATGGGAACACACATCAGAGGGGATGATTTTAGCTGCTCCAGGATTAGACAGGCAGAGCAGATGTTTGAATGAAAGCAGAGCAGGTGGAACAAGAGAGGAGATGGGAACATTAATTAGAATGAAGAAGTGTCACTTCATACTACTTAGTCAAAGAAAATAGATGGACTATAAATGTTCACTTTGGAGAGTGACACGGAGCTCTTCAGCCATACCTGCAGCCCTTCACAAAGAAAAGCTGCGGGGAAAAAAAAAAAAAAGACAGGCTGGAGAGATGGCTCAGAGGTTGAGAGCACTGGCTGCGCTTCCAGAGGTCCTGAGGTCAATTTCCAGCAACCACACGGTGGCTCACAACCATCTGTAATGAGATCTGGTGCCCTCTTCTGGTGTGAAGTTGTAAGTGCAACAGAATATTGTATACATAATAAATAAATCTTAAAAACAAAACAAACAAACAAAAAAAACCAAACCCATGTAAGCAATTTGGCAGCATCCAGTAAGCACAAACATTCTTTGGGGTCAACCACTTGAAAGTATCTGAAGACAAGTTGCACACAGCTTGTTACTGTGACATAACCAGCAGAGAATGTTTGCATAAACAGGTGGGGTGCTCACAGATAGAAAACCAGACAGCCATAAAATGGATGAAACAATGGGATCTTTATCAAAATCCCACATATTGGTGAAAAAGGAAATTTTATGCCAGGCAATGGTGGCACATGCCTTTAATCTCAGTACTTGGAAGGCAGAGGCAGGTGGATCTCTTAAGAGTTTGAGAGCAGTCTGCTCTATAGAGTGAGTTCAGGACAGCCAAGGCTACACAGTAAAATTTGTCTAAAAAAACAAAATAAAACAAAAAAAAAAAAAAGGAAAAAAGGATATAAAATAGGACACTATTTCTATATAATCTCTAGGAGTTACTACAGCAAAGGTCTCTAAAGAGTGGATGGCAAATATATGGGTCCTCTTCTTAAAATATTTCAACCAAAGGAAAGAGAACAAGGACTCTGGAAGTCCCTTGGAGCACTCACCTCACCTACTGCTGGCTCTTGATCACCCAAGCCTACAATGAGGATGCAGTCAGCTTGACGGATGCAGCGCTGAGTCCAGGGTGTGAGTGTGCTATCTGCTTGATAGAGTACAATCCGGTGGATGTCTTCCTGCTGCCCTAGCCAACTGGACAGCCGGTACTCATGGATACTGCAAGACACAGGGCAGCACACCTCAGCTTCTTTAAAATTTTATTTATGTATTTTTTTGAATACATGAATGCTCTGTCTCTAGGTACACCTGCACGCTAGAAGAGGACATCAAATCCCTTTATAGATGGTCATGAGCCACCATATGGTTGCTGAGAACTAAATTCAGGACCTCTGGAAAAGCAGCCAGTGCTCTTAACTGCTGAGTCATATCACTAGTCCCTAAACTTAAAAAAAAAAAACAAAAACAAAAAAAAAAACAAAACAAACAAACAAACAAACAAAAAACACTTTTTTGAGAAGGGTTCTCACTATATGCCATTGGCTGGCCTGGAACTCACTCTGTAGACTAGGTTGGCCTCCAACTCACAGAGATTGGCCCACCTCTGCCTCCTGAGTGTTAGTACCTCACCTTCTATGGAGTCTCCTAAGGTTCCTCATCTTCATTAGCACCCTTCCCACAGAGCAGCAGAGATGACCTTGGAACTGGGCAGCTGAACTGAGGCTGTGGCCGGGCCCAGAACAGGGGGCTTAAGAGAAACAATAAGATGCAGAGCTGCCTGCATGTGAAGGAGGGGCATGGTTGCCTCCTGGAACCTCTGATGGTACCCAAATACGCATACAAAGTATAGAGCATAGCGGGAAAGGAACATGCTGTAATGTGCACCAAGGCACAGGAGTAATGAGGTCCATCCTAGGACCATGCCAGGACAGCTAGGAAAGAAGTTCAGGTTGGATAATTTCTCTATATGGAACTGTAAGGGGCCAGAGGCACACCTGTCTAGAGCAGCAGAACCAAGGCGTTGTTTGATGTTGTCACTGGTCAGCAGCAGGACAGGACCTGAAAACATGCATCCATTTCAGAAGTGTGTCCCACCAGCCACCTTGTAGGAAAAGCAAGAGACCAGAGTGTTTACACCTTGTCCTGAGGTCAGCTCTCTGGAAGGGATTGCTGGCAATGAGGATGAGCCACACTTTTAGGCTGCCTCTCCAAATCTGAGTCTCCTGTTGACATATGAACCAAGTCTTTGCAATCCTACCATCAGGTGTGTGGACACATGCTGGTAGCAAGGACAGAATGCAACAGTAAAACTTGAAATCCTGTCATTTCCAAAAGCCACATCTAAAGTGGCCTGGATCTAAATCTAGTTCATGCACAGGCAGATGCCATACTTGAACATCCATGCCCCTCAAATTAGCCAACGAAAGCAATGCAGAGTGGAGAGCAATGGTCACTCTCAGGAAGCTGCCACAGGAGTACACTGGCCACAGGTGGAAAAGAGCCTAGCAATGGGAAAGCCAGTAATAATATACAAGGAGATTTAAATCATTATTAACAAGCCAGCCATGGTGACCTAGCCTTTAATTCCAGCATTTGGAAGGCAGATGCAGGCAGATCTCTTTGAGTTCAAGGCTAGTCTGGTCTACATGCTTCCAGTTCTGCTAAGCTAGAGCTACATAGTTAAATATTGTCACAAAAAAGCAACAAAAAAAGAATTCTCAAGCTCTCCCAAGAGTATGCAATTAAGACATAATTTGTTATAGAGTCCCTGCCACCCCCAAACGGGATCTCAAGATAGCCTTGAACTCCTAAATTCAAGCAATTGATCCAGTTCTGCCTTTCAGGGAGCTGAGACTACTAGCAACAACCACTGTATCATATTTTAATTAGCAGCTGCTTTTTAAAGGCATAAAGAATAAGGATATCTTTACATTGGAAAGCCTACTGCAATGTGGCTATCACAACTCCAAATTAAACCATGCAAATACAGCCTGGCATGGTGGTGCCTGCCTGCAGAGGGAGCTGTATCTCTCGGAGTTCCAGGCCAGCCAGAGATACAAAGTGTCCCTGTGGTGGCACACACCTTTAATCTTAGCACTGGAGAGGCAGAGGCAGGCAGATCTCTTGAGTTTGAAGCCAGTCTGGTCTACAAATTGAGTTCCAGTACAGCCAAGACTACACAGAGAAAGCCTGTCTCAAAAAACAACAAAAAGTAGAAACTTTTTAAGCAGGCAAATCTGTCCCACAATAGAGGGAGGAGCAAAGGGCAGCAGGTCCTATATACACCTTGACCAGTGCTTCTTCCACCTGGACAGTATACCCTGTCTTGAAAAAAACAAACAGAAAGTTATCAAATCACCTACCAAAAAACATGGAGGGAACTCAAATATATAATCCCAACCATGTGTCATTCTGAAAAATAGCTAAATTAGAGAAACATCAAAAAGATCAGTGGTTACCAGAGTTTGTTGGGAGAAAGGGTGAGTACGCAAAGCACAGAGGACCCTGAGGACAATTGAAAATATGTTGAGTGATATGGTAGTAGTGACAACCTGTCATCACACACATCTAAACCCACAGAATTATGACAGCAGTAACACTCACTGTCTGTCTGGACCCTGAGCAATGGTGATGGGGCACAACATCCCATTTTGGATGGGGATGGTGTTAGTGGGAATAGCTGTGCACGGGAAGGGGGCAGGGAATACCTGTGAAATCCATGTTTCTTCCCAATTCTGCTCTGATCCTACAACTCTTCAAAAACAAGATGTTTTTATGTTTTTTGTTGTTTTGGTTTGGTTTTCTTGAGTCAAAGTCTTTTTATGTAGCTGTGACTAGCCTAGAACTCATATGATAATCAGGCTTAAACGTGCAGCAATCTTCCTGCCTCTGCCTCCCAAGTGCTGGGATTACAAGTATATACCACTAATACTTGGCTTTCAAAAGTGAGTTCCCTTCTCCACCAGTTAAGAAGTCAAAAAGCCTAATTAGAAAATGAGAAAAAAAGCTTGGTGGTGGCAGTGCAGACCTTTAATCTCAGTATTCAGGAGGCAGGGGCAGGAAGATCTCTCCAAGTTCCAGGTCTACAAAAGTCTACAAAGTGAGTTCCAGGACAGCCAGAGAACTAAAACAGAAATAACCTATCTTGAAAAGAAAAAAAAATTTTTTTGAGAAAAAGGGACTAGGATGTAGTTGAAAATGAAGCACTTCCTTAACATGTGTGAGGCTCTGAGATCTCCCCAGCGTTCAACAAAACAAAAACTGAAAGAAAAAAACAAGTAGAATATATGAATAGACTTTTCACTAAGGAGATCATATATGAAGAGCAAACCAGTACATGAAAAAAACATAAGTGTCATAAACCAACAGAGAAAACCAAATTAAAATCAGGGCATATGGGCCAAGCAGGAGGCAGAAGCAGGTGGATCTCTGTGAGTTTGAGGTTAGCCTAGTCTACATAGTAAGCTTCAGGCCAGTCAAGACAACATAGTGATGCCCTGCCACAAACAAACAAACAAACAAATTAGGGTATGCTAATACTGTGCCCCTGTTAGATAGTTAAAATTAAAACACTTATGACAAAGAATATTGTCAAGGATGTGAGGAAACTGGTTCTTCACACATTGCTAGTAGGAATACAAATGGTATAGATACTGTGGAGAGAGACTGGCGGTATCCTATTAGACTGAATATACTCTTAGACTCCAGAGAAATGAAAATTTATGTGAAAACAAAACAAAACAAAACAAAACACTATTGCACAAATGGTCACAGCAATTTAATTCACAATATTCCCAAACTAGAAACCATCCAAACACCCTTTCATACTAAGTAGTACAATAAACTAAAATATACCCTTAGCGGTATGAATACACCCTAGCAATAAAAGGAAAGTTGTGCTTGCTTTAGCAACACTTATACTAAAACTAAAATACAAAGATTAGCACGGCCCCTGAACTAGAATGACATGCCAATTTGTGAAGGGCTCCGTGTTTAAGGGGGGGGGGGAGAGAGAGAAAAAAAAAGAAGGGAGGGAGAGAGGGAGAGAGAGAAAGAAGGGAGGTAGAGAGGGAGAGAGGAAGGAAAGAAGGAAGGAAGAAAGAAAATCTCACATGGCTACATGCTGTAATTCTGTTTTTATAAAATTTCTCAGAATGACATAAAACCAGAAATTAAGAACAGCTGTTTACAGCTGTCAGTGAGTAGGTTCTTGCTAGAATGTGGAGGCTTTAAAGTGGCAGCTGGAAGGTTTCTATGGCAATGAGCTTTGCAGCTTTGGTGTGGTCCTGGCTATTAGGCTAAACCTGTGTCAAAGGAAGAGCACATACGCATTCACATACATACATGTGCATCTATACATACACAAGAACAGGTAATGAATCTGGAGCTGGCCTTAGGAGTATATACACTCTTCTGTTGTTAGTTTTAGCATCACATATGGTGTTATCTTAGGGGACAATTGGGAAAGGTCATGGAGCCTTTCTTTACCAGTTTGCCATTTTTGTAATTTTACAATTATCTTGAAATAGAAAAGCTTTCTCCACAGAGCAGCTTGACACTGCACTGGATTCAGCTTAAACAATCTGACCAGTGACACCAAAAATTAATGGGGCTTTCTATACACCTGTAATATGAACGAAGAATATCAAACAAGCCAGGTATGATGTTGCATGCCTTTAATCCCAGCATTCTAGAGGCAAAGGCAGGTTGATGTCTGTGAGTTCAAGACCAGCGTGGTCCACCTAGAGAATTCCAGGACAGCCAGAGCTACACAGTGAGAAGGTCTCAAAAACAAAAGAAAACAAAAACAATAATTTTAAACTATATATACTACTACATTATGTTTTTATTTTAAGAATAATTTATAAAAGATACTGTGGTATCTTTCAATTTTACAGATCTTTGGTTTGCATTATATAATGCTTTATATCAGTGGTTCTTAACCTTTCTGAAGCTATAACCCTTTAATACAATTCCTCATGTTGTAGTGATCCCCAACCATAAAATCACTTTGTTGCTACTTCATAACTATAATTTTGTTACTGTTATGAATCATGATGTCAATATCTGATATGCAGGATATCTGATACATGATCTCCCCCAAAAAATGTCATGACCCACAGGTTGAGAACCACTTTTTTAAAAATATTTATCAATTAAGTCTGTGTAGGTTAGAGAACATATTTGTGCCATACTGCCATATTTGTGCCATAGCTATTCCAATAATAATAATCTTGCTTTATGATTATTGGACATACTGACTGCATTTACTATTATACCACTTTATACAGACAATCCTGAAACTTTTATTATAACCTACCAGAGAAAAGGAGTATCTTATAATAGTTTCACTCAAAATTACTTAAATACTTGTAAATAAAATCTTAAGAAAAGCAGAGTACTTTATAAACTTGGAAATTCTCAAGAATTCTCCTAAGTTTTAATTTCATGTTCTTAGATTCCAAAAATGTTAAACATATATTTATCCATATCTATCTATCTATCTATCTATCTATCTATCTATCTATCTATCTAT